ACCAGAACATCTCCTCACCAGCAATCATCACCCAGATAAGCAGAGATTAGCACCAAGATTATCACCAGATCTACAATCAAACAGTGAACAATACCCTAATCAAGGAACTACCAGAAGGGGGAAAATGAAACAAAACAAAACCCCCACTAACAATGGAAGGACATGCCACTGTATATAAACAGAGAGCAAACCCCATTCCATTCTAGCACTGAAGATGTTACCTAGCCGGGTAACGAAACGTTTGCAAGAAAACAACCAAGCTCAGAGAACACCAAGGATGCCACAATGTTTGTTTTTGAAAGGGTGAAGTGCACCAACATTTCATCATTTTTAGAAGTTTTGACATATATGATTTTAGTTTATCACATGTGTGTATTCCTCCAAAAATGAATCTGTTCAAGAATTTATGTCATATGACACAGTTTACTTTGTAAATTAGAGGTGCTGGGAAGGAAGTTTCTTGCACCTACTTACAAAGAAGCCATTTTCCTTTATTTGTATAAAGATTAACAGGTGATTTTAAAGGATAAATCATGGCACTCTTTTATTGGAGTTTTAAAAGTTCTGATGGGGGGTGGGAGAATTTGAAAAACTATAGCCCCTGTACCTCCAACTAATAGAATGTGCTGTCTTTCTGCAGAGATGAGTGCAAATCCTCTTGATAATGACGGGATAGAACCTGGGGCTTTTGAAGGTGTGGCAGTCTATCACATAAGGATTGCAGAAGCAAAATTAACATCTATACCAAAAGGTATAACCTATTTTATTTTTAAAAAATGTATTTAACATTTTATCATAAACTATGTTCCAAATTTGATATTAATATGTTGTTTCAGTTAAAACAACATAATCGACTTGTTTAAACAACACGTTGTAAGAATTCAATAATGTCTCTTTCTGAAAGTGTGATCCAGAAGCTTGGGAGCACATCAATGACCATTCTTGGAAGGAAAAAATACCTATGCAACTGAGCAAACAATAAAAGTAACAAACCACCCAATCCAGATTTAAAGCACCCATGTTATTGAAAAATCACTGTCCAATGGTTGAGGATCAAGCTATGCAATACATGCGATCAAGGCAAATAAACAAGCCGTGCAATTCATTTTCCTGACAGACACCAAAGAAAAGCACATCGTTTTATGCTAGAACCCAGACTTGAAATAATGCTTGCTGGATCTGGAGGCAACATTAAGCCTAAGCAGTAAGCCAAATGGCAAGTTATTTGTAGAAGTGCTCATCTTAAACTTGCTGAGCACTGTGCCACAAGGAGAAATACGTGCCATGCCTTTTTAGAGTCTGTCATTCCTATTCAAGAAGTACAGGTAATACTCTCCTTTTGAGATGTGCACTCCAACAAATTGGATTTGATAACGAAGGCAGGATAGCCAGCACTGAGTGACTTTCTAAGCATCAACATCTATGGTGGTCAATAAAAAGACTTCATGGGAGCAGCAGTTAAAGAAAGTATGGTCCCTAATCCACATAGTTATTAAGATGGCAAATCACTATGAGATTACCCTAACCATTTTTTTGACAACCTTCCAGGAACTTTCAAACACTGAAAAAAGTAGTTTCCTGTCAAATGGTAAAAACAACTTGCCAAGGCTTCAGAAGTACTTATTTCCCATTTCAGCAAATATTTTTCTTCCTAATTAAATAATCAACTGTAAAAGTACAAAATATTTTCATAACATCTCAAAAAAGAAAACTTAAAACTGATATTTATTCAAATGTCAATTTTCACTATATTCTGTGTGACTTGATGCTATTAAATATGTGGAGGATTGCAGGGAAAGGGATTGCAATAACATTCAGTGTTTCCTAACCTTCATAATTTCAGGATGAGCTGAGAATGTTTATGAATCTGCAGGTTTTCAAGGATGGGAAACTGGTATAATCAAAGTTATAGTGCAGCCCTATATATAAATGGTCAAGAAATCTTATTGAGCCATAGATGTATAAATCTATTCACTTCAAGGGGCTCCTCTAATTCTGTGCTTAACCTAATATAGAAAAAAGTATTAAAGCTTGAGGTCAATGTAACAGTAACAATCTCAGTTAAAATAGGGTTTTCTACCCAGGAAAAAAATTAGTTCCCTCACCTGTGTAAAAAAGTAAGTTAATCTATTTTGGGTAATAAGCTGTTTTGCAAATGAACCTCATAGACTTACATGAATGAACGTTTGTGACCAATTTATGAATCCAATAAACAGCAATGCACATATACTAGAAAAATATAGGTAGAACTGGAAACCGACAAGAAGAAACTGTTCTTTGGCATTTCATAATAATGTTGCCAAAATGAAACACACTGGAAAGCTAATATTTTCTTAGACCATAATGGAAACCAAAGGCATGCTTTTGCTCATAGTATAACAAGAAAACAGACACATGAATATAATGAGCAGTAAGATTTTAAAATTTATAAGTTAATGCCTCCATCTCTTTAATTTTATGTGGTGGTGTATTTGTTAGTTTTAAGATGCCACAAGATTCTGTTGTGCATGCTGGCCAACAGATCTAAAATAGCAAATGTTCCTTATATTTAACTTGGAAAACAATTTCTCAGATCAACATGAGAATAGCATAACGAGAATACTGTTACACTTACCATTTTCCATAACCTATGCTGGTTTGGGTTTGTTCTGCATAACCTATGAGTTTTAGCAGTCATAAAAGTTGTTACTGCGATTTCCTTTGAAAAAGTCATATATGTGGCACTACTTTTCACAAATTGTAATGGGGGAAGGAGATATTGCCACCAACTGCTTACAGATTGCATTCAATTTACAGATCTCTTTTCCAGATTTTAGGAAGTACCAGTTGAAACCTGAAAACCTAAACTTTATAATGAAAATAAAGAAGTAGGTAGGCCAATACTTTACTTTGGCATAAGGTGATATTCTATAGTGACATGTAGTGGGACACCTGCACATATGGGATGTCATAACCTTCCTGCTTGTGAATGAAGCAGCCCAGAGGATGTGGACTTGTCCTGATGCAGCAATATATGCAGTTTTAATTCCTGTAATGAGTATTTGTACAAGATAAGCATCATTGCTCAGTGGGACTACACATTCCTATCACAATGATAGCTGCCATAAAAATATTTGCTAGTTCCACATTTAATCTCCACATCTCTAATAATGCATTAATACTGAATTTTTTAATGTTTACCTTAAGCAAGAGACATATTTCCCTTTTTAATAGGGTTGCCATCTAGTCTACTGGAACTTCACCTAGATGACAACAAAATCTCTGCAATTGAACTTGAAGATTTCATTCGATATAAAAATCTTCAGAGGTAAAACTTATGCTTTGGAGTGAGGTACCACTAGTATACCGATAACATTTAGCACTACTGATCCTGTCTGTAGGAGTAGCAATGAGAAAGCAGTCAATTTCTCTGACTGTTGCCTAAGTTCAGTAATGTTATATGAAGGAACATGTTGAAATGAAATCCTCACAGAGACACTATTGTTATATAGAAAACCAGAGTCTGTGCCCAGAAATCAGCTTGTTCTAGGAGGTGGTTGCACTTTTTACCCCAGTGGTCTCTGCAGATTGCATCAGCTGTTGAAGGGCATTTGCCCAACTATTTCTAAGGCAAACTGCAACTTTTCTTATGCTATGGTTTGATCATGGTTAACCAATTGCAATATTCTACAGAAGCCAGAACATGTAGAAGAGTGTCTTGAAACTTCAACTGGTACAAAAATATGGCAGCTAAGCTACTAACCAGTGCACAAAAGTGGAATATTATTTCCATGTTGAAAGACTTGCACTGATTGCCATTTGTTTTTAAACACAGTCCAGTGTTTTTTGTTTGATCATAACTGACTTAGGGCTTGTATCAACTGACTTATATCAATATTACCATGTTTAAGCATTAATATCTGCAGGAAGACACACTGTTCAGAAGTGTGGGGATAGAGGAGAAAGCTTTTTCCTGCTTTACTCCCCACAAAGGGAATGCATTTCCTTGGGAGGTGCATTTAGCTTTCAGGAAAGAATTTAAGATCTTCCTCTTCACTCTTTTAAGTTGACTACTTAAAAGGGTGATGAAGAAGGTGAATAAGAAGGATGAAGAGGAAGTTGATTACTAATAATTTGTTTTATTTGCTTTTAATTATTTGCATTTTATTTTAATGTTTTAGGTGCACTGAATGCCTTCTGGACAGAAAAGCAGGATGATTAAATAATAAAATTTAAAAATTGTTGATAGTATAACAATTCAATATTTGATGCAATAATTTGTAACAATAATTCCTTAGCATCATATTAACTTATTAAGAGCACTTTCATTCATTCCTATTCCTTTGAGGTCTCCAGTTTCCTTTGATTTACATAAATACATTTCAACAATATACTGTATTGTTGAAGACAGGTACTGATTTTTTTGAACCTAACAGGAGTCAGGATGACCTTTATTCTGAACCAGGCCAGGTCTTGGGAACAAGGATACTCCTGTTCCTAAACAGATGTATTGAGGTGTTTTGGCTGTGTCGATAAATAATAGATGGAGAGAATAAAGTCAAAAAACAGAATGGCCTCCAAGACACCTGGAAAAAGGATGCAGGTAGTCCCCAGTTTAAGAATGAGTTCCATTCCCAAGATGTGTCCTTAAGTCAAATTTGTATGTAAGCTGGAATAGTATTATTTAATAATATTGTATAAGTAGTATTGTGTAATGAAATTGAGCCATTATGCATTTAATTCGAATCATAGTGTATTTAACTTGAATTTTGCTACAAGCTCTGTTCTTAACTATGGGTCATCCTCAAACCAGGTGTTCTTAACCCAGGGACTACCTGTACATATGGCCTCCACTATGTATACCTTACGTTAAATTAAATTGCATTAAAGGAGGTAAGATAACATTAAAAGAACATGAGAGGTGCTAGTAGAAAGTTAAAGAAGAGATGCAAATAACGGGCAATTTGAAAAGTTATATTTAGCAGTATTCTGACAGTCCAGTAGAATATATTGGAAAGCAGTTCTTGAGAAAACATTTTTGAAAATGTAGTGCTGAAATACACTTTAAATAGTTTAAGCAGTTTTCAAGTTTTGTTATAAAACATACTGTCTGAACTGTTTCCATTTCTTAATTTACCACTAGGTTGGGTTTGGGAAACAACAGAATCAAAGATGTGGAAAATGGAAGTCTTGCTAATATCCCAAATGTTAGAGAAATCCATCTAGAAAAGAACAAACTGAAAAAAGTACCTTCTGGTCTTCCAAATCTAAAATACCTACAGGTAATATACAACTTAATAGGCTCTGCATATTTTGCTCTAAGGAAGTGGCCAAGTTCTTAACAATATCCATGGCTAGCAGAAGTCAATTGGGACCTCATTTTCATTACTAGTTGTTTCAGTTCTAGACTAAATACTTCTATACTAAATACTAAATTTTGTATTGGTTTGTATTCTGTTGAGCTGGGCCCATTGATTGCTAGCATATCTGGCAAATACCAAACTTGCGGTGGTAATTCTAAAGATATTGTATGGTGATTACTGAAATTTCTTTTCGTCCTCTCATAGGTTGTCTTCCTTCATTCGAATAGTATTTCAAACGTGGGAGTGAATGATTTTTGTCCAACAGAAGGAAGGCTGAAGAAAACATTATATAGTGGTATAAGCTTATTCAAGAATCCTGTTAAATACTGGGATATCCAACCAGCAACTTTTCGTTGTGTACTAAATAGAAATAGTGTGCAGATTGCAAATTACAAAAAATAAAATAGTACAGGCAAAGTATCATTGAAATAGTATTATTAAAATCAGCATTGCAATACTTGAAACTTCTGAAATCTGTAAATTACATTGCCCAATTTCTTTACAAAATAAAGTTATACAAGATTTAATAAATTAGAAACATAACATCCCATTAAATTCCTTCAATTTATTTCTCTGTATTTTCAAATTGTGTAATGTTGCCTTTTTTGTAAGAGAAAATAATGTTATGTTTTAAAACAATTTTCAGGGGATTAAACTAATTAGTTATGTGCTGGAAAGAACTATATAAATATTTATCATAGCTCAAGAGAAAAAATTTTGAGCATTTAACAAAAGTAAACCTAACTGGCTAAAAAAAGTTCTAAAGGGTGCTTTATTATTAATCTGATAATCTAATTCATTATGAGACTAGATCATAAAATTGAAAGACAAACTTAATATCATGCCCTTTAGCATCAAAGCCTTTAATATTTATTCATGTGGTGAAACTGTACACTACTTTTATATCAAAAATATATGTATGCTGAATATTAACCATGTCAAAGTATTTTTAAAAGAAAAATGAATATATTCTCTACAGAGAGCACAAATATACAACTTTGTTGTTCCTGTATAGGTTAGTCCAATTAGGATAGAGTTTAAAGATCTGAGATCAGAAAAGTATTATATTTTGTGGTAAAATGAAAACTTTTAGGCAATTAGGGATCCTAATCATGTGCAGCATTTCTTGCTCATAAAGATGAGAGAGAGAGAGTGGTCACTGCATGCATTACAGCCAATGGGAGTCATAGACTGTCATAAGTAAATCCATTTAAATTAATTGAAAATTTAGTTAAAAGAATTTAATTTACTTTCCCATAAGCAGTTAGAGAGATTCTGGCTAGCCTGCCTTTCACATGTGTTCTCACTTGGTACAGACAATATACTTTCATGGCTAATTTAAGACCACTTTTCAGTGTGTTGTCTCTTATTATTAATGCTGGATCCAAATCCTTGTATATTACTGCTTTAGTACTGTAACTCGGCTGAATCCAACCTGCATGTATACAAACTATTTTGTTATGGTTGATTAACTGATGATAGTACTGTATAAAAATAGCTATCTACTTCTATATTTAATGTAGATGCATTATTCATTTAAGTTAAGAGAACAGAAAAAACTTTCAGTTGTTTCATTAAACACGCTGAATTGAAATCTTGTACTACTGTCATGCTGCTGTTTCTTTTGTTTAAAATAAATATTCATAGTATAAATCCACACGTAAGACTGGATCTTAACACTTCGTTGATGGGAACATTCTTTCAGTGGATTTTCCATTTCCCTTATTGACTCTGGTACCATTAAAAACTCTGTTTTGGAGGTCTGGGGTCAATGAATACAGAAAGGGAGAAGACAATGACATAAGAAGTTTCAGGAGAAAAAACACAGTATGGATGAAAGGAGGACTTCCATTCAGAGAGGAAAATTATTATTAACTTTACTGTGTGTTTTTTTAATAATCTTTATTTAGACCAGTTCAAACAAGTTCACTAGGTCTACATTCCTAATAAGAATGACTAAGATCATTAAGGTTTTGTCGAAGGCTTTCACGGCCGGCATACGATGGCTGGTGTGGGTCTTCTGGGCTGTGTGGCCGTGTTCTGGAAGTTTTGTTTGGTAGCCAGGTTTTGTTGATTTTTAGACTCTCCTCTTTTTTATTGTTGGTAGCCAGGTTTTGTTGATTTTTAGACTCTCCTCTTTTTTATTGTTGGTAGCCAGGTTTTGTTGATTTTTAGACTCTCCTCTTTTTTATTGTTGGTAGCCAGGTTTTGTTGATTTTTAGACTCTCCTCTTTTTTATTGTTGGTAGCCAGGTTTTGTTGATTTTTAGACTCTCCTCTTTTTTATTGTTGGTAGCCAGGTTTTGTTGATTTTTAGACTCTCCTCTTTTTTATTGTTGGTAGCCAGGTTTTGTTGATTTTTAGACTCTCCTCTTTTTTATTGAAACTGTGCTGGTGTTTGTGAATCTCAATGGCTCAATGGCTTGTGGTCCCGATGTATACTTGCCCGCAACTGCATGGTATTT